CAGACAATAACTTTAGTTTAAGTGTATTGATCTCTATGAAATTTAAGCAAAAGGTTCAATACCACAAAAGGAAGGTTGGGATTGTTTTTGGGGGTAATGGTCCCAACCGTTTAGCAATTAGGGGCCATAAAGGGGCCCACAACAAGCATTTTTCTAATTTCAGGACAATAACTTGTGTATAAGTTTTTTTTCTCTCAAGATTTAAGAAATTGTCAATTTTCCAAAGAAAAATTGGGAGTCAAAATTTATTATGCTAATTCTTTGTATATAGTCTGAAAACAGATTTACTAAGTATTGCGCAACAGCACAGTGTATTGCACAACAGCAAGAATTCTTCAATTGAATATAAATTCAAATCATATAACCAATTTCAAGTTCTTTAACTACATTTATTCTGCGTCAGAAACCTGTTATGTGTCAAATATTTATTTACAATCCAAATTCAGACCTGTATCAAGCTTTAATATTGTGTTCATTTTTGCCCCAACTGTTCAGGGTTGGACCTCTGCTGTCGTATCGAGCTGTGCTCGGCAAGGCAGTTTATTTAAATTTTACTGATGAAGTTTAAAGCCCCTCTCCTATGTCAGAACATGAGATCTATTAATTAATGCAGTTTAAATTACTTTTTTTGATAACATGATTAGCAAGACATGATTTAGGTAAATTGAAAAAGTGTTTCGTTGTTGATTTTAATAGAAGATAGAGTAAATATTTAGACATGCATGTCTAATAAAATGTTACAAAGACCATTAAGGTGACATTAGGCTTGAAATGAAAGCTTGTTTTTTGTAACCAGTTAACTTGTGATAACTTACTATTTACAACTCTTCTCTTTATTGAAGAAAACTTTGATTGTTTTTTTTCATGGTTATTTATATTTCTACAAAATAAGTAAAAATGAGAGTTGTCTCATTGGCACTCATACCACATCTTCTTATATCTAAATAGACTTTTTAATCTTTTAAATAAATAACGAGACTGCTCAATCATTGAATGTACTCAAAACATCTTGTTGGCAGTAATTATACTTCTTTGACCCTGTTATTTCTGTAAAAAAAACTGAGAGAATCCTAAGTACCCTTGGATTTAAGTTGTTCAACATGAACAGATTTTGAATAGCTATACATACCACTTGTGCATTATAAGCAAAACTATTGAATTTCACAGCTTTCCTCAGTGGGTTTTAACAACATTAGCAAGTGTACTGAACATTTTACTGCAGCTTATTCTCAGTAGCATTCTTACAACTGTAAAGTATTGACAAATATATTATTTACTTTTTCACTTGTCTTTAATTGAAATTTTGATTGATTTTGTAATATCTTGGAAACTTTAGGTGCGAAAAGTGTGTCAAATTTGATGAATTTATCATTTATCTTGCCACAAGTATATATTGATCACATGATAAATTCATTCTATTATAGATCTCCATATATCACGGTATATAGATGGAGATAAAATGTTACAATTATACTTACATTATTGCAACAGGAGATAAAATGTTACAATTATACTTGTATTATAATGCAACAACGTGGTTTAGTATTCAATCATAAGGAGAACATATTTTCTTTTCCAGTATGTCGTAATGTCAAGTCGCTATAATTATATAAGACTGGATTTTCCACAGGAAAACTCTAGTTATTAAATTGGAGAGTGGTGGTCAGGCAGCTGCCAAATTAATAGTTTCCGTGCAGTAAATTATGAACCATTCAATTAATATTTTTCTGATTTTAATGTGTTGATACTGATGACAAAATAGAGGTCAAGTATGATATTGACAATTTTAACTTTTACCGTTCAGGAGTTATGATCCTTGATCTATTAGAAAATGGCACTTTATGTCGTTTCTGTTCAATAACTTATGAATCCTTCTACAATCAAAAATATATGAATTGAAAATTTATGGAAAAAAGGTAGAAAGTTGTAATGTGATGATGCAGTACAATGAAAAAAAGCAGAGCCAAAAGCAGGAAAAGATAAAATGCCATATGTACATACTAATTATGAAAACACTCAGGAGAAATTGATTAAATTTTACTCATTTTGTTCAACCCAATGATATTGCACTGTTGAAACTGTTTCACACTTGCATCCAACTCCATGAAAAAACATTAAAAGTTAACTATATAGAAATGTAATAAAACTTGTGTGCAGTGCACAGATAATTCACTATAAGTCTTGTGTTTACACAGAAAATTATTTACACAGAACATGGTTAAAAATGAATGATACACTTTTAATGATTTTTTAGAATTATTTTGAATGTATGTTCAGCAGGAAAAATTCCAAAATTTACAAAAATAAGTTGATATTATGCCTTGTTGTGTGGCTGGATATCAAAGCTGTAGTTACACATGTGTCTTACTTCACAAATGACATTTCTGCACTAAAGTGATGAGAATCTATCATTCTTTTCATTTATTATTAAAATTAAAATACTTTTGAAAGAATGTAAGAAATTGTATTAATTTTTGCATTTTCAGGGCCACATACTTGTTCTTATCATACCTGATGTAAGAAAGTAGGTTTATTGTAGGCTTATTTCACAATTAATTGGTGGAAGGTCTACTTTAACCATGGTTCAGGCTGGTTTAATGCTTTGAGGTTCTAATTTGAAAAAAAATATGATTTTTTTGGAACTAGTCTGTTCATGGTACTAATTTAAGTGCTTAAGTGCTTGAAAACTAACTTATTATCAGAGAAGCATTTACAAACTTAAAGAGTTGCAAAAAATTTGAATTGAAATTGAAGTATATTACTTAAAGAGAAAGCAGTTAAAGGGACCTAAATATAGAATCTAAGCTTTGAAATAAAGCAAAGGATTGTAATAGAAATCATACAAATATAAAGCAATAATTGCTTAAGATGGTTAGTAACAAGTGTTTTTCTCTGATTGATTGTGATCAGCGAGAGGGTGTCTGTAATTAACATGAACAACTTCATCAGTATTTATTTGTCTGGAGAGAGAAAATTACATCTTGATTGCAAGAACATTTCTTCTTCTTAAGTCACCTTACATTGTAAGAATCAGAAATTGCAACTGCTGATCAAACACAGGAGTGACAGATATTTAATGAAATTCCAAAATAGCAATGATAAATTCTGCTAGAGATGCCCCCTGTCAATCAACTGGCTGCAGTAATCAAAAATCAAGTGGAATATTTCCTTTCTTATTGAATATTTCCAGTGTAAAAGGTTTATTATGTATGTTTTTATTGGGACATAGTGGTTTTGATTGATTAATTGATACTAAAGGTCATAAAAATAAATATTTACAGAGATAATTGCTTATTAATCAATTGTTAAAAAGGAAATCTTTTGAGGTGGAGGTTGGAAATGCAAGCAAGGCTAGTATAAACAATTTGTTGACCTCTTTTACACAAAAACGCATATATATATTGAGTTTTATGCCCCCACTGCTGTAGGCAACTGACATTGGGCATTAAGTGTTTACCCTCGACCATCTTTCTTTCTGTCCGTCCTTCTGTCTATCCCATTTTAGGTTCCGCATTCTGACTTTAGTTTTCCTCATCCAAATTTTATGATACTCATACACAATGGTAAGAACCAAAACTCACAGGCAGAGTTACAATTTGGACAGTTAGTCACTAACTGTTTTGAGTCGAGTTATACCCCTTATAACTTGGAAAAATTGCAATTTTTTTCTTTTCTGCACTCTAACTTAAGTTTGCCTCATCCAAATTTAATGAAACTGGGACACAATGCTAAGAATCACAACACGCAAACAGAGTTTAAATTTGGGCAGTGGGTCATATACCGTTCTAGAGTTATCAGGGGAAATTATTTGAAAGGGGGTTTATTGCCTCTTTTTCTTCCATTGCTCCACACTCATGCTTGTTAGTCCCCTACTGACAAAGTGGAAGGGAACTCTAGGTTTGCACTCCGTCTGTCTGTCTGTCTGTCCTTCCGTCAGTCTGGAAAATCAGTTTTCCACACTTTTTTTCTTCATCCTTTAAGATCTTGATTTGATATTTGGTGTATTGTTTTATCATGACAAGTTACAGATCAAGTTTGAATTTTGTTCTGGTCTGATGATTTTGTGCAGAGTTATGGTCCTTGGGCATAGAAAATTTACTTAAATAATCAGTTTTCCACACTTTTTTTCATCATGCTTGAAGATATTGACTTGCTATTTGTTATATAGTTAACACCATGACAAGTTAGAGAACAAGTTAGTATTTTGTTCCAGTACAATGAATTTTGAACCGGATTGCCATGCAATGCTCTCAGAATGCTTGTTATATTTAAAAGACCTAAAATAATTAGAAGTAGCAAATCATTAAGTGATATAACTACAGGGACCTATTTACAATGTCATCAAGGGACCACTGCCATGTCTTAGATTGATAACCATTGTTTTTATATGATACCAGAAATAACTGGGATTTACTTTATCAAGAACAAAAGTTTTATAAATATGACAAGCTCTTTCATGTAGATCTTGAATATGAAATCGATATACAAATCATAATACATTTATCAAATTTACAAATTAGATTATGTGACAGGTTGGTCTTTACATAAATATGAAATTGCACCATATTATACATGGTATTAAATATTTTGAATTGATAACATAGAAGGAAATATATATTTTCAAGTTTGTTGAACATTTAGGAAAAACTACGATTTTTAAATGATAGTTTGATGAATAAATACAATTTTTTACTGTTTTCACCAATGCCTATAAAGTCAACTCATCTCTCCATGGTACACCATTACCTAATTAAATAGGTTTAACCCATCTGATAGGAAAAACATACTAGAGATCAGATATCAAGATTTAATTTTTTTACTTTGGTCTGTTTTATTAGAACACCTAAATAATCTTGAGAAATTCATAGTCTTTGTTAGAGGGAAATTTTTACAAAATTTAGGCTTTACAAAGAAAATATATGCAGATTTGCCATAGTATAAACCAGTATTATATAACCAATGTATTTTTTTTTCCTCATGTATTTGACTTTTATTTTCAGGTCAGTACCTGTGGGAACACATCCTAGGTGGTGACACAAAGTTTGGTACCAGTAATACATGGTCTCATGGGGAGAAAAAGATAGACAATATTGAATTTAGGTGAGGTATAAGTTAATTACTGCATAGATATTACGACATCACAAAACATTTCTCCTTTAAATAAACATAAAAATGAGGGGGATATGCTGATAAATAACAACCTTGGTGTATTTACTGTCAGAACATCAGTATAAAATACTGCATTTCACTTATTTAGCACCACATACACATAATTGATGAGACCAAATCATTAACTGCTCGCAGTGCTCTACCGCCCACCTTTGAAAAACAGCTCTGATACATATTACTAAATATCAATTTTGAATCATTGATACAGAAATGTTTAAATCAATAATATATAATTTTTGAACAAAATTCTGTTGACAATTGTTCAAAAAATTGGCAATTGGAAGCTAAAAAAATGCATATTTTTATTGTCACTTTTTACGTAGTATACATTCTATACATTTGTATGTTAACAGTGGATCTTGACTTTTTGAGCATTATTGACCCTGTCAAATTTTACTGTAAGGAATTGTATATAGATGGGTTATAGCAAAATTATAAAGGAATATTGTCCTGCACAGTATGTCATATGGCACTCACATACTTGATCAATATGATATAATGCTGGGACATTCTAATTTAACATTAATGCAAATAATCTATGAAATAATTGAAACAAATTTCATTTCTTTTACATTTTTCTCTATTTAAAAATAAATCTGTATTAACTGAATGGTGTCCAGGAATATTTTTGTTTTGGCCTTTGAATGTATTGTTTTACAAATTCAGATTACACAACTGTGTATATAATAGTTTATATAATAGTAAAGGTCAAGAGAGGATGGTAGATTTCAAAATATATATATATCCCTGTTGTGACAATGAATACATATGTAAATATTTATAGTGCAGATCAAGTACAGTACTGAATAATAGAAGTGGAATGTTACTAAATGAGGTAGCAACCCAGAAACAGATTTACAACAAAAATAACATTGGTCGTTAACATATGGTCCTTAATCGTCAAAAAATAATTTCATCACATTTTTCTCAGGACTATATATTTGGTCAGCAGCTTGACATTGATGGGTTGTAAGGTATCAGAACTTTTTGGATCTGTCAGACATCAACTTTTAGTTTGCAGATACTTTGAATTTATCATTATATTGAATGAAATCAAATATTTTTGTCACACTTTTTAACTTCTGAACAGTTGTTCAGCAGCTTGACAGTGATGAGTTGTAACGTGTGATCTATCAGACACCTACATCCTATTTTACATACCTTCAATACCTTAAATTATGGTAATTTTTATACAAACTGGTTAGACTAAGTGTCAGTTAAGTTACATTATTAATTAGATAATATCCAATAAAATTGGAAATGAGGGTAAAAAAAATCCTTACAGCAGAAAATTGATATCACTTTTTGTCGTATCAGCAGTTTGTCCATAATGATAAGAAATTAACTATTAGTCAATTTGACTTAGTCAAATCAGTTACAAACTATCTGAGGCAGTATCTTGATTATATCTAAATGCTTCTTATATGAAAAATGATGCAGTGGAAAATTTGATTATTGAGTTATCTACGAAGGCCTTAGGTTTTGGTGTATCTGATAATTATATATCAACCATAGTATGGATCTAACTACTAAAATAGCAGAACTTCTAAATTCATCTAAATTAATAAATTACCATTTAATTTAGATGCTTTTCAGTTTTCTTCTAGAAAATAAATATTGATTCTAGCAAAATGAGGAACTTTCTTAAGGAGACATAAATCTACCAAAGTGAATTAAAGAAATTGCTTATGCTACCAATCCTGATACTTATTAGGTAAAATTTAATGATCCAAGAAGTTTAATTTTGTCTGTAGCTATAAGAGCATGGCGTCCAATTTTAGTTGTGAACAGTTTGATCAGCTTTGAGTTGCAGAACTTGATGTTTTGACACAAACATAAGTAATATATAATTGATTTAGAATCTGATGTCTTACTTATTCAGATTTAAGCAATAACAGCAAATTGTCTCAGTTGTTTCCAAGTTAACTTTTTGTCTGCAAAATAAAACAGTAATTTGTTTTTGTGGTATCTTAATTGACTTACAGGAGGTGTAATAGATTTCTCTTCAAGTTTGCCAGTGATTTCACAGTTTTGGTTATCCATACTACTTAAGATATTTTGGTTATTGATACTACGTAAGATTTTAGTACTTTGGTATTCCCTATTCTATAATTGTCAGGGTGGGAGGAAAATGACTTTTGATGTTTTTGTAATACAAGCATTGAGTCATCCTTACATTAATTAAAGAGATGCAATTATTACTATAATGCTTTATCAAAACATTTAAAAAATGAAGAAGAATTACAGGAACTAGAAATATAGTAGTAGGAGTCACTAGTTCTAAGTCAGGTTTTACTGACAGGCAATAGGCTGAAGGGTCTCAAGGTAGTGGGGGTTTGGGTTCAAATATGACAAGATCATCTCAAAAGACCTTGAAACTGGTATTTTTTAGCAGTTGTCATTCAGGAATTGGAGCAAATATTTGTAAACACACTATCTCTTGTACTCTATAATGACAAAAAAGTCAGAAATGCATTCTTTTCCTCAGACTGTTCACATTACAAGACTGGCCATCCAGTTTTTTAAGCACACCTTAATTTTAGATTGTTGTGTTTTTATCTTATTTTTTATATCGGACCTAATTAAGGCCTACATTTGCCAAGTCCATTTGGTCATGGTACTTTTGTTGTATTCAAATTTTTTAACCTACATTATCAGTCTGATTTGGTCTCATTACTTTTTTTTTTTTTTTTTATTTACTTCAGTCAACATGGTCAAGGTCATTTGTGCATATATCAGTCCATATTGTTCTAGTCAATTTTCCTTATCCTAACATAATAGTACACAACAGTAGCATGTCTATATATTTCAGTTGAAATTATGATTAACTTAATATGACAGGAAATTTTTATTTATGTAAATTAATATAGGATAAAATATTAGCAGAACTTTCTCTTTTGTCATAAATTGAGATTATGAACTAGATAAGTTGTTTATTGCCTGGAATATAAACACAGTGAAGAAAGAAAAAGCCATATTTAGTATTTTAGTGGATCTATTGTTTTTGTATTTATTCCATTTTCATAAATTCTCATCATATTTTCATTGCTTATTTTTCTTTCGATATTTAAATATATGAGTAAAGACTACCAATCTGCTATTTGGCATGAATCTGTTTAGTTCATAGTGGTTTTGTCTCGCTTCGATGTAGCAGAATACAAGACATAGGTACTACAATCGAGTGGCGACTGTGGCGACAGCGTTTACTATTTGTATTTAGCTTTATATTTCAGAAGGTAGAAGACCTAGATGTTTCATACCTTGTATGCAGATACCTGATGTAACGAAAGTACCATCTGTCATATGTCCATTGCCCTTGACCTCATTTTCATGGTTCAGTGACTGCTTGCCAAAAAAATATATTTTTTATACGCCTGTCAAATTTTTGACGGGACGTATTATGGTATACAAATGTCCGGCGTCCGTCCGTCTGTCTGTCTGTCTGTCTGTCTGTCCGTCCGTCTGTCTGTCCGTCCGTCCGTCCGTCTGTCTGTCTGTCTGTCTGTCCGGCGTAAACATGTCGCACCGTAACTTGAGAATGACTTATCCAAATTTCATGAAACTTAACATAGTTGTTTCTTATGATGGTCAAACGATCTGTATACTTTTTGGTGAAAATAAGATTAAAACTTTTTGAGTTACGGGACTTAGTAACTAAAACAGGTGTGTGCCGTATCTCAAAAACAATTTATGATTATTGCTTAAAACTTTACACACTTCTTAGTTATATTAATCCTAAGATCTGTATACTTTTTGGTGATGATTCAAAATTTTATTTTAGAGATATTGAGTATTTTTTAAAAAAGGGGGAGGGGTTTTTCACATGTCGCACCGTATCTCAAAAACAGTTTATGATTATTGCTTAAAACTTTACACACTTCTTAGTTATATTAACCTTAACCCTTTCCCTTTCACACCGGTACAGCTTACCGGTGAAGCAAATTTTAAGATATATTTTGGGCATTTAGTCTTGTTCCATTGTCATTTGCTGACGTACAGATATGGTTAAGGGCTCAAATCAATCCTCAGGATACCAGCAATATGATTGAATGTGCATCAAACTTCTATCATTATCAGTTCATAGTCAATTCGCCTCTTACTGACATGTATTTATTCTGTAAAAACCTTTTTTTTCCTTCGAATTTTAAAGAATATTTTCAAAAAGAAGTGCATAGAAAACTATCCTTTTTGGGGGAATTATGACTTTTTTCAATAACTGTGCAGTGAGTTTTTGAAGAATGGTATTAAAATAATAGTTCTAACTTGTACACTAGTTAAAAATGTAATTTTTAGTGTACCAGCGCAAACACAAACTTGAAATGCGCTAAAAATCCGTAGTCATTTCTTAAAGATTTTATCGTAAAAGAGATAAAATCACTGAAATGTCCTGAATTTTTTTAGCAAAGTTGAAATAGATGTAACAAAACATGGTTTCGTAAGTGTTTGGGTATGATAAAGTTGAAAACACTTTTGTTTAAATGAAGGAAAATGTATATGTCAATGGAAACAAGACAGATTAAGAACTGGATTCCTGCTATATTTGCGCAAAAACCATGCATTTGGCCATTTGGCATCAAAAATATATTATCTGAACACATAATTTCTAATAGAAAACAAGCTGGGTGAGGATCTTCATATGTTTTTTTTTTCACGTCTTGAGTAGTAGACTTAAGTACTTAAATTTCAATATATTTCTAACGATGCCAGTGGTGCAGGGGTATGCTGAACAAACCCAAGGCGGAAAGATCGCGTGTTCGATTCTCACTGCCGGAGGTTGAAAAATTGTTTCCTATATTAAATGTAACTTAACTTAACTTTACTTTCAATTTCAAAAAGAAAAACCAACGAAATACTTATGTTTGTTTTTAAAAGAATGTGTGTGCCAAATTGCCCCCCCCCCCTTTTTTGCCCCCATTTACTTCCTCGGGTTC